CATACATACATACATACATGCATGCATACATACATACATACATACACATTGGAATTTACCTGTCAATCTATCTAAAAATCTCGACCTTATTTCCGAATCACGTATAAGGAATGTAGTTCGCAAAACGTTTCCTGTACTTTTGGCAATCTGCAGAAATATACAGAGCAATGACTGCTCGATTTTACTTGAACTGCACAAACCTATGTCATCCTAATCTTGGAAATGGATTACAGGATTATCTAAGTGCACGTAGCTACCAAATGCAAATTGAAAGGTAACAAGCATTCACTAGGAGTTTAGTGCATAGGAGCGCATCCAATTTTGGTATTACTTGTATGCCAGTTTATAAAGAAAGGTCAAAGAGTATTGGTTCGAAAGCCTTCTTAATAGAGCGTTTTCAACCATCAAGTTTTCTGGTTTAGGCTTTTGAGGGGCAAGTTGAAGGCACAGTTTACGATAAAAATGGTTACTGAGTTCTTCCCCTAGGAATGCTCAGTGGCCCCCAAGGGTATAGGAAGGAATTCTCGAGCCCCGTTACCGGCTCGTCCGGAGTTCCCGCCTCTCAACCGATGTCACGTCAGAACAGATGCTGAGGAGATACAGATTGCAAACATTCGCGCCAGGACCCACCGTTCTGCACGAAATCAGCTGATCGCCCAGTGATTAGGATATATTTTACTGCTATTTTACTATTCTTTCTTTTTCTCTTTGCTATTACTATCATTCTTCTAGCTTCCTACCATACAAGGATTAAAAAGGTGAGTCATTTTGGCTGCTAGTCGTTCCTTTGTTAACTTATGCTGTGATTTTGAATGTTTCTGCCGTGATTATTTTTGCTTTTTTGTTGACAGCAATCTCCTCGGTATAATGTCTTTGCATTGTTCTTGTTAATTGCCAAGAACACTCTTAAACATTGTATAAAGAATGCTGAGCCATTTTAAATAGTTTAGTTTTACATTCTACGCCCCTCTCTGCTGTTCGGGTGTGTTGTACGCAATTGCAGACATTGCGCCGCCTTCGTCTACTCGCTCTAACACCCCCTTCACCGCCCTGTTTTTCTCTATGAATCTCGTCCAACCGCCTTTTACTACTTTTTTGGTCCTGTGTATTTTTCCTTTAGTTTTGAAGTTAATTTTTTGAGCTGTAGAACCGAGATATTAACAAGCTTTAATAGGCTGACGTTTCGGTGCTTTCACCTTCCTTGGAGCCTGGAAAGACAAAAAGCATTTGAAAAACCATCCTATCAAGCACTATTTCAATCTACAAAGAAAGTTCAAAGGGCGTGGGCTACTAGGAAGTCGAAAGTTAGTAACTAACCTTTGGGACAGTCGACCTTTGGGGGTCCACCGATCACCCTAAGCTGGTGTGGCTGCGGTTTAAATAGGGGTGAGCCTCGGGTCAACTTGCTTCAGGGGCCTACAAGTGGCTGATCACGTAGATCAAACTCCCTCAAAAGCCACACAAGGCTGAGCGCGCCGCTGACCCCTTCCCAATCAACTCCTATCGATTACTGTATAAGTCCCCGACCCCGCCCGCCGAGAGGACCCCGCGGGGGATCGACAGCGTAGGTCAAAACCCACATAGTGCTGCAAAGGGCGCCAGCTCTGTGGTATTTTTCTGTGGTTTGTATTTTTCTTTATGAAGTCGTTTTTTGCGTTTTCGTTAATTCCGCACTATGTATATCAGAACGGGTCTTTCATTTTCTGTCGAAAGCCATGTACCCAAAATTATCGTGAGCTTTGCGTTTAAAGATCAAACCTAGCAAGTACTAAATCGTCAAACCTGCAAAGGCCGGATCTCTGGGCTTTCCCTCCAATATGTGGGGCATCGCAGGTATTACCAAGCTAAAACCATCAACTTTCTTTTTTTCCGCGGTGCCAGATGGTTGCAGATACTCCCAACTAGTATTTTGTATGCGAAAACATTTCTGCTTTTGAAAGAAGACTCGATCAAAAGGATTTACTAGCTACTCTCGATAGTGCAGATCTCTAGCTTACTATTCCAGCGTGGATGTTTTTCCTAGTTTCCCGTCGTTCTCCATTAACTGTCGAGAATCTCCAACAATACTGCTATCGCTCCTCGTGAATCTATGTTCTGGCTGATGCTGAAGAAATGCTTCTCTATTTCAATAGTTATTACCTCACAGCGCCCGGTGTGTATGGGATTGGATTTGCCTTGCATCTAGTCTGCTCCCCTCTGTTTTTTCGTGACGTGGTTGGCTTGATGTAGTGGTATGGAAACTTAGACTCGTCCAAGTGATAGCTCTTGACTTCATGCTCGGGTGGTGCACTTTTTGCTTCTCTTCAGTAACGCTGCTGTGTCACTTCCCTAGCTTACCGATTTCACATGGGTTGTTGGTATATACTTGTTTCGAAGTTTTGGTAGGTTCCTATGACCCCGTACATGGCGGGCATCACAGCCGACTGATGCAAAAAGTCACGGTGGGATTGTGGATATGCTTTTCCGTTCTCACCTAAGCTGATGCTGCGTCTCTGTGTTGCTTGCTGATCCCGTCATTTTGTTCTTGACTTGATCTGAGGCTTCGCACTGAGCAATTACGTTCGTTGCCTATGCAATTAGTCAAGAACCTCTCGATGCATAAGGCTACTTCCGCTTTTCTGCTTCTATAGTTGCGTTGTGTTGTTCATGTCCTTTTTTCTGTTTTCTCACGTTTGTTTTTCTCTCTTCAATTGAAGATGGTTCCTTTTCCAGTGTCCATATTTTCCTCCGAGGCAAACTGTTGAGTTGTTGTGATAAATGTTCTTCTTCTCTTTTTTCTTTTCTCCTTTTCTTTCCTTTAACGTTGTCATGGCGGAATTTTCCAGAGTTGAAACGTTGTCATCTTAAAGTGGCGGAATAAACGCCACGCACGACGTGTGCGGTGTGATCTAGTTTCGTCGACGATAAAAGCGGAACGTTCCCTTAGAAGCGGCGTCGTGTCAGCAGAATAAGCCACGCAGCTGATCATATGATTAGAATTCGACGCCACTCTAGGAATACCCGACCTCAAATGAAATGAGTTCATAAGACAAGCAAGAGAGAACAGACACGCAACGAATGCTGTAATTATGCACTTCAAGGCACAGTTCACGATACTTTGAAGCAATTTAACCCATTTTATACTGTCCTTATATTAACTTTTAATTTCTCTTATACCTGCGGTTAGAAATGAATGATTCCTGGATCAAAATGCCTCAAGATTCTCTAGAAGGTTTCGTCCGCTTTTGGGTGTGCACATGGGGTAAGCTGGTTGTGGGATCCTTGTTACGCCTTATCTAGATCTTTTTCAGCCCGACAGCGTCCCTTGTACTATCCTTGGGGGCACAAGTTCGTTCGAGAGAAAAATCTCAGAAACCATTTCCATCGTGAACTAGGCCATTAAATAAGCGCGATTCGGGATAACATAAAACCATGCGGAGCTTTGCACATACCAACAAGGAGTTCCTAATAATTGGAGAGATAATTTCACACCTGTGGCAACGACATTATAAAATCGTGAATGTTAGCTATTTTTGCTGCTTCTTGAATTTTTTCCATTGTCACTTCACTTTCCATCATGCCATAGGCGATGTTCTCCTTGAAAAGTTATCTTCTAAACGCACTCCGACACTTCATAGAGCGTATTGCAAAATGTACCTTTATTGTGAAAGAAAACAAGGTTGGCTCCTGGCCAACAGAAACAACCATCCTTCGAAGGTACGCAGGATTGATTGACCTTACATTATACTTGTCCATAAGCTTAACAAAAAGGATTCTAAAGTCAGTGATAACACAATTGCTCCAAGGCGAACTCACCACTTCTCCATCTGTAGCGTTATATAGTCGTTGGATGAGGGCCATAACGGAGGTTTTTCCAGATCCAGAGGGACCAACAAGTGCAACAGACTGACCGGCGCGGATCTGTAAGGTAAAATATTCTTTCCTTGTGTGCAAGAGACTGTCATTACAGAATGATCTCTTCATCAACCTCCAAGTGCAATTTGTCAAGAATAGGAACGACAGGCCGTGTTGGATAACGAAACGAGACGTCTTTGAATTTGATGGTTCCCTCCAGCTTCTAAAAATGAAGGGGTTTCATTCGCGAAGTATTGAATATGGCTAAATACTAGATATTAATAATCTGAAATACTCAAACGAAGCTTACCCATGATCTCAGTTTGTACCGAAAAAGATGCTTTCTACCAATGAAATCAGATTCATTCAGTATGAATCGGTTCATATACACATGAAAATGTAGGGTATATGTTCTTATAAGCTTATTGGAAGACAGTTCCATGTACGGCTTCCTATGGTTCTCAATTGGCATAATTGTATCACTGAATTTCTTGTTTTCTTGGAATCTTTACGAGGTTTGTAAGTATGCTTTATTAGGCTGGCGTTGCGGCGGAATCGCTTTTTTCGGAGCCTTAAAAATCATAGCGATTTGTGACCATCCGATCAAACGTCTCCACCAACCCACTGAAGCTCGAGAACCTCAGGGCACGCAGGGATCGGAAGAAGAACCACTCACCGTAACTTTGTGGATTCTCCGAAACCATCCAGCAAGTGATGGTACCAACCGACCAGAATCAGCTGGGGTATGTCCTCATTCGAGTCTCTAGGGGAAGAACAATCTTATGTAAGCCGTAGCAATTGTGCGCGAGTAAAACCCCTAAAGCACTTTGGATACAGGTCACCGTAGAAAGCATTCAGCACAGACTTCAAGAGAACAATAAACTCAGTGATTCAACTATGATTAGAAGATAGTTCACGCCCGACCGTTTAACTGAAGCACTGGATGAGGACAATCGGACATTATCAGGCGTAGGCATCGCTCTTCGTCAAACGACGATCTATGTGCATTCTAGTTGATCATTACTCACAGGTCGCTGTCCTTCCTCACTGAGATTGTCGAAATCGACGGCTCCTTCTTTCAGTACGGAAAGGACATTTTCCGCAGCAACTCGAGCCTTCGACAAATCCGATACAGATGCCACTAGCTGTGAGAAAAAATTTGCTCCGAATTGTGTAAGGAGCACAACCCTGCAACAAATTAACCTGCAGAAAACGCTGGTAACACTCGTAACACTCTGGGAGAAGAATAACCAGTGTTAAGTCTCAGTAACAGTATCTTGAAAATTCACTGCTTTCGCTTTTGAACTGAGAGAAGTGGCGATTGTGGTGCTTGTATGACGCCAAGGTATATAAAGAGAGGCCGAACATCACCGAGGAACAAAAGCAAGGATAGCATTGACGAGTATGTAACTGCGAATCACACTGATTAATGACAAGTCTCGAAAACGCCCTCTAACAACAAGGGTCAACCTAGGTTATGTGGAATTTCCCATTTCAAAAGCCTCTGAACGTTGCGAAATATACGATTCGATCTTTCGCTTCCCAAAGAATTTCTTCTCTAGGGCCATCTTATCTCAGCCTTCAGTATCCCATAGAAATGTTCATACACGTGCAATTTAGAAAGTTAGAGCTGTGAGACGATTTCGGGATTCATGTGAAGTCAATCATAACAAGGGTTCGGATGAGAACAGTTTTTCAATTCGTTCACGCCGCTTCTGAACTGACAGTCACTCGGTTTTTGGAATGCTACATCGAATCTATGGGGAAGATGGGGTTTCGTCAAGCGATTCCTTCACTATACGTACAACACCCACTCTAAATGTTCGAAAAATCACAAAAAACGCGGATGCGCGCTTTTTGTTTTTTCTCCGTTAGTAGATTGGTTTTCACATTTTTTATACATAGTGCTTTATGGCTCAGCTTAGATCGTCCAACTCTAGAGAATGGTATCTTGAAAATTCCGAAAGGCTTGAGTTAGAAGTCCACCATCCGTCAAAGTACGAGTGAGGGTACGTCATTAGCGGCGACGCCTGCGATAATTTTAACCAGGAGGCGTTCGCTTCTATAAAAGGTAGTCAGTGAAATGTTGAGTAGATAAATTTACCGACATTAGATGAAAATTAGACTATGGTATTTCTCTGATTGGTGAGATCATTTAGATGCCAGTTTTCTTCAAAATTGATGAATTTGGCCACCGCCAAATTCACTTACTGAGGCTTTTCAAAATGGAAAATAGCAAGCATAAGTTGATTCCTGCTTTCACTAATTGAAATATCTATTCTCCAGAGAGATAGCTTTTCTGCAGTTCAAAATTTGCTGCCTTGAATTCAAAAGAAGAAGTTATATAATAGTTCGAAATCCGATATGCGCCATGTCTTTACAAGGAGCATACGTTTTCTTGCTTTTTCGAGTGAAATTTTCGATGATCAGGTAAAGCTACGCCCTGATTCGAGAGTATTCACGCTAAACTCTTTGTGTACATTCATAAACAGTAGGAAATCGTAACTTATCTAAGACCTTCGACTATATATAGGCACCCGACACCGCTCCTAAACACAGGAGACTAAATCTCGATTTTTTCATTCCAAGTAAACATCCAAAAGCTTACATAGTTAGATCACATTTTCAAATAGCTACCCAGTCATATATATAAAGGATAAAGGATAAAGTTTTTGGCGTTATTCAGTCCCGTCCGAGGGATGCGCCCCCGCACTCGACTTCCATTCAGAATCGTAGTGGCGTAATGAGTGCGTATGTGGCCTATACAATGACTTGCGGTGGCCAGCCGATGTACAAGTCAGTGCTTTTACCCTCCCAGACAAGTCTGGTACCAATTCACCGACGCCGGAGGGATGGAAGGCATGGTTGGCCTAGGCGGGCATCGATCCGGGATTCGAACCCCTGACCGTGCGTGTGATATAGTGCGCCACTTGCCACTACACCATCTCCGCCCCAGTCATATATATACATATAAATATATACAGGGTGCGCCATAAATATGGTAACAAAAGAATTGGACCACAAAAACGCAGTTCATTTTGATACATGGTGAATTTATGTGAGTTATTTACTATGCATCACATCCACAAAATGAACACACGGTCATCTTATATAACCGTCTCGTGTACTAATTATAGCTCAAAGATGCTTTGACTACTCATCGATGGCGGCACGCAGAGTTTCTTGCGAAACTCCAGCCTGGGATCTTTTCACTGGTTTCTTATGAGCAGCAGCAGTGGTGCATTATGAAGCATAGGCTTTTCTCTCCAGTATGAACTTATGACCAGCAACCCATTACACAGTGGTCCGGGAAATTCGTAGGAGGGTTGGAAGCTGGGATGAAGTCGCGAACACTCCCTCAACACCAGTCTTATGTTTCCCTTTTCGTGAACAGGTGCGCCATAGTTTCCAAATTGTGTCCTTCAAAAATTCTTTCCCCTCAGCTTATTCATTCAGAAGGACCCCTCTTGAAGAGTTTTGTATTAAATTTTGAACTTTTTTCGATCAAAATTTGCGATATCGCTTTGGTGGCAGAGTTTCCAGCAAAAACTATCATCAAAGAGGGAAATTGGCTATGAGAGGCGGTCTGACTCTTTTCAGCGGCTTCGACTCTCGAAGTGTGAAGCATATGTATACTTTGATGTCTCAACATAACATTTCTTCACGCTGAACACTATCCAGTCAAGAAAATGTTTGTCGAAGCGCGTGCCGTGCGTAAGTAGGGACCGGCATTTGTTTTTTCCAACTTCTTCTGGTCGAGGAGCTTAAAAGGCTTTTGAATCTTATGTGGATACAATTGTATTTACTCTGGATAGAATCTTCCCATCGAATTAGAACATACAAACAAATCAGCAGTCATTTTTCTCGTGTTTCTGCAGGTTCCGCGGCGTATCCTTCCCGATTGATTGTAGACGGAAAAGGTGTCGTTTGTGAGACAAGACGAACGTTTGGAGGTTTGCCGTTAACCCGTCTACGCATCGCGGTTCAGGAGACTGTCACACGAGAAACGTTCAAACAAGGAGCGATCCAGGAAAAGGACTCTAACTTATAAAATTCGGACGTCCAAAAAGTTGTTACCATATTTATGGCGCACCCTATATATATATATATATATATATATAT